CCCAGCTTAGTTCCAAAAAAAGATCATATTGGTGTGTCTGTGTACAACATTTTGTGGAAGGTCTTGCCACATACTCTTCCATTATGACTGTATCCCTGTGTACAAAGAGAGATCCATAAAGAAACAATTTGACAAGTTTGGTGTTGAGGAACTGGCATGGCCTGCACAAAGCCCTGACCTCAATCCCACTAAACACCTTTTGCGATGAATTGGAACGCTCATATAGGTGTAACATTCAAATACTTTTGAGCAAGTAGCTTATATATGTTACTTAATAAAATAATCACATATTTATCCATCTCTCCACCCACATTTAAATAGTAGTACTTACTTTACGAGTCCAAGAAGGTCCAAGTTTGCATCAAAATTCAGATCCACGAGTCCCAGAAATAGTTCATTGGGGTCAAAGTGATTGCGAAAAACTGCATTACATTGATAACATTATGATTTTTGAAAGTATTGTTTAATGTACCTAATTTTAAAACATACTTTCATCCTGCCACTGCAACCATATGTATGATGTTTTGTTAAACTGACACTGTATTATACAGATACTTTTTGTGCCATACTGTAATGATAAGAGATATAGTAAAATAAATTCTACGAGCCAAATCTAAACTACAGTCCAGTTATTCTGCACATTCACTGGTCAAGAGAAGCATTCATTTAAAAGTTCTACAGTTATCTTTAAAATAATACTTTTAAGGCTCTCTTCCAATGTTTTTGGCAATTATCTGCTGTAAATAATTGCATGTCTACCTTAATCTGATTACAAGAGTCCTCCAGCTCTTGTGAAACCTCTTTCGGAGGGTGGAGGTACTTGGTAGTATAAGTGTCAGTGTAGATAGGGATGGTAGGGAAGGTTAGGTGTGCTCAGATGAATAGTGGGGTTAGTGTGGAAAGGTGTATCAGAGGGAGGAGAAGAACTAGAGGGATGATGGATGGAAGAATGGTTGAGACAGATCGTAATAGACTAGGAGTAAAAAGGACCGAGGAAGGAACCTTGTAGCATCAAGTGGAGATGGAAACGGTAGCCACCCTCCAGTCAGGTATTTGAGAACAAGGGCAAATGTACCAGCTTGTGCCTGAGCAGGATTCAAGGATCAGAACAGAAGGGAGAGCTTTCTGGAACTCTGGCATGTTGAAAGGGAATGGTTTCTGGAACTCAAGCATGAGGGGCAGAAGGGATAGGAGAGGTATTCTAATGAGGAGAAGGAGTTACTGGTAGAAGCATACCAGATGCACACAATTGGAAAGCAGCTGGCTCAGCATGAAATAATGAACTCCATAGCATGCATGGGGGGCTGCATTGATGTCCTAGCATCTGGCTCTCAGCGTGTCTGTGCTGCTCAGCTCAAGCAAATGTCTGAATATTTGAGAGCAGCAAACAGAAAGGAAGCTGTACTGCTGTCTGGGTGAACTCTACTTAACAACTTCATTGACATAAAAAATGGACATTTAAAATGTATAAATCTACATGTCCAGGCAAAACAGGACCAAGTGTAAAATGCTCCCTGCGCATGGTTGTGGGGGTTGGATAATTTTTTTATGAATTTTTTTTTGAAAGTTCACTTACAGTTTGAAACTTTGCAGTAGTCACAGTATGCATCTGCTGTTGGAGTGAAGTATCCAAATGCAAACACCAGACAAAGAATCTTCCACATTTTCAGTTTGATAATCTGTACAGTTATGGGAAATTCAAATTTAACATTTATAGTTTAACAACTGTCTCTGTAAATATGTTGAGTTAAATCATTTTACTTCTCCTACTGTTTTCCAACAATTGATGTTAAATGTTCACTGTCAGCTGATGAGATTCCTGAACGTTTAATACTTTCCAGGTTTCATGGTTCTTCCTGTTCTACACAACTCCTCTTTGTCTGTGTTCCTTAAGTTTCCATGATCACTGAGAACACTACTTTAAGTAGGCTACAAATTAAACTCTTAGTCTCCGTCCCCTTAGCTCACTAACCCACTTTTTCTTCTGCAACAGTGTTTTCTTTGTAAAAACTCTTCTAGCAACCTTATGCTTCCATTCCATTCCATACATGTTAAAACTACCTCTTGTGTCATTTAACCCTACTAATTAAAGGATCACTATAGTGTCAGGAAAACAAAGCGGTTTTCCTGACACTATAGTGCCCTGAGGGTGCCCCCACCCTCAGGGTCCACCTCCCGTGGCACTGAAGGGTTAAAACCCCTTCAGCAGCTTACCTTATTCCAGCGTCAGGCTCCCTCGGCGCTGGTGACCTCTCCTGAAGTGGTCTGGGTGACTATAGTGTCCCTTTAACATGTAAGCTGGTTTGAGCAGGGCCTTCACTATCCTTTGTACTTGTATGTCCAATGTATCTGGTGTGTTTGTATCTGTGTCCTTTTGTATCAGTGTGTGTGTTTGTCTGTGTGTGTATGCCTGTAGGTGGGAATTGGAGGTGGACCCCAGGGGGCCCAGACCCTGAGCTGAGTTAGGGGCCCCAAAATTTCTGGTGGCGACCCTGTCTGGTGCAACTATTTATTAGTCTAGATATTGTTCAGTGCTGTAGAATGTCTTGGTGAATTTCAGATCTGGTTATTTCTATTTACGTGTGACCTACTTGACTTATAAGCAATCTGTATGTGCAGTTTTTCAGCATGCAGGCTGCATATACAGAGACATCTTTAAAGATGTTCCAGAGTGTTATTTACACTTGTAGCACACATGACTTAGTCAGCATGGAACTTTGTGCGGGACTGATTAATGTCAGTTCTTTGCAAAAAATAGTTATCAGCTTCTTCTTCTAACACACCCGCATGAAGAAGCCATCCTCCTCAATTAATTCAAGTGCCTAATAGAGTTTTAGAAACCGAAATTTAACCTTGAAAATGGGTTTCGAGCAACCATTTAATGATATTGTCAATCAACTCATCTGCTTTTCAATTCTTAACAGGTTTTGTAATAGGACTATGTGAATACGTAAACATGGTGGAATATAAATAGACTGGAGAGTTTAAATGGGATGGTAATAGTTTGTACTTATGGGATACAGTTGAAAAAAAAGATTTTTAAAATTAAAAGAAAAAGTATTATGCGTTTAAAAAAACAATGAGTGAATGTATGTTGCCAATGATTTAAACACATCTAAAAATTACCTTAGTTGGCCAGTTGCCTATGTGTAATGTATTTTTTTATTTCTGTCAGTTTTAAAGGGGGACTATGCACCATAACCACTACATGCTTTAAGGAGTACCGTGCCCCCACATTTGAGTAGTCAAACCGTTTAAGAAGAACACTTTGACATCCTGCCACTCCCTCCTCTGCACTTAGAAATCCATGCACTGATCTAAGTCAGCAGTCCAGGATTGCACTCTTGGCTGAGAGCAGATGCAGATGATTGCAGGACCTAGCTCAGTGGGACTCCTTGAAGGAGGAGGAGGCAGGGACTCCTCATAGACCCCAGTTGGGTTGTTAACATTTTATTAAATAGTGTGAGTAATTCAAACAGGGACAGGTTACATTGTTTATGGTGCTGGAGTGTTCCATTTAATAGTTGTGGGAAATTTGTGGGTGAGGTAATATTTAGAAAGATAGCAATCTGTATGACTTTGCAGGTGTTGTCTAACGATTAAAATATTCTAAATAAGCTGGTCTTAATTAGCTTGTCCCATAATATCTCTTATCTATAACTTTGAAAAACTCACTATTGTAACTGTATAATCAGTGAACCTGGAAGTAATGTCTCAAACAGGCCATATCTATGTTGATGAAATAAATTTATTCATATACGATACTGGTGTGGTGTGTCTTACTATCGAAAGACAGACGGTGAATACATATTACTGAGCTCTGATATAAATAAATAAATAAATAAATAAATAAATAAAACTGTTTAAAATATTCCAGGTTCTGGAAAAAAAAAAGCAATTCCTATCCTATGAATATGAATATACCGGTTAAACACTATTTTGGATCAAAACAACATATATTTAAAATGACTATGACTTAATATAAATATGATTCTAAAATATCTATGTGAAATGAATTGTTGTATATGTGTAAAAATAGCTAAATAGAATAAACATTAAAAAAATATATATATGTTTAATTTGCTCCAGATTCCTCTTATAACTGAAGCAAATTGGGACTAGTGCCACTCTCTATGTACAGAATAAAAGCCAGTTGTGTATCATATTCTAAAAACTAAATCTGTGTTGACGTAAAATAGGCTACATTTCTTGTGTGTGCACTTTAGACTTTTCATGGGACCCAATATTTACTAAAACTATCACATCAGCTCAGAATATGAAATCAGTGGGGTCCACAAACAGACCATTTATTTCCATTGAAACTCATTGTAATTTGAGATCATTTAATCTTTACCCGAGTTGTGCACCTCATCTTGAAGTAAACAGAAAATTATAAATGAAAGCTACTTGGTGAATAGAGCATTTGGTGAACATTTAGGTACCTTACACTGTATCTAACAAATCCAGCTGATTGAGCCAAATTATTTCCGTTTTCATTACTATCACTGGACCTTTCAGTTAGACTCAGTATTGGCCAAGTTTAATGTGCACAAGTCTGTGCTAGTGGTGGAACAGGAGGCACATGATGAGAAAATGCATTTAAATAGTTGAGATGAAGACATAAAGGCAGATAGTGGGATACAGCAAGATTCAAGATATTAATTATCCATTTGAAAATCTTACCACGCTTCAGTGATGAGATGGGAGATCTGATTATTCTGTGATTTGAGTCTTAGAGATGATGGGCATTTTATACATTTGAAGATAAGGAAATTGTTAATTGCTCTGTTCCAATGTACATTGAAATTTTCATTTGGAAAACAACTATAGTTTGCCCATGGCAATTTCATCATATCCTTGTTTAAATAGGAAGTGGACTTATATTATTTCATAATTATATTGGCACATTCTTTTTTACATTAAGAACTCATTGTTTATCACAATAAGCTAAATCAGGTGTGAGGCACTCAATGTATCAAATTGTAATTCCTATACCACTGTGCAAGCCTTTGGTTTAAGTACATATAATAGCTGATGAAGCGCACTCAGTGGACTACAGTGTTCAATAAAGCAAAAAAAAATGTTTTTACATAACAAGTTTTGTCAACGTTTCAGTCATCGAACAGACTTTCATCAGGTTCTGATGAAAGTACATTA